AAATTTACTGCCTTTGATTTGATTTCTCCAGTGAAATGCTGAATTGCATAAAGTCCTCTGCCCTGAAAAGTAAAAAGATTTTCTCTGTGGGCCATGCAGAAACTTCCCTTCTCATATCATGTCTTGTGTGATCTATTTTGAACTCTGATCTACTTGAGATTTCTCAAACTGGCCTTGACTTCTGCTGTGGGGTGCTCAGCTGTCTTTTTGGAATCAAGTGGCTTTCTGGGTGTCACAGCATTCCTGAAAAAGCTTTCTAGAACATGTCCTGTCATAGGAATTTTGCTCTGAGCTGATGAACTCCCCTTCAAGTCAATGGTATATGTGGTTGGTCCCATTTGGGCAAGTTGTCAGCTGCTGTCAACAAGCATTGCTCCTTTGAAGTCAGTGGCCTTTGTGCAGTCAGTAAAGCTGTCTGGTCTGGATTCTGACCAGATAGTTTTCATTATCACTTTAATAGCGTGAAGAATGAGAGAACTGTAGGCTTGCATGGTAAAATACCTCTTGCTTGTATTCTGTGATGGATAATTTCTAATTTTTTTTTTTGCCTAATCATTCCCCTGATGCCGAGTTTAAATATTCCCTGCATCAGACCTGCCTAATTTCTATGTCTCCTTCTAAGTTGTCTTCTCAGTTGAGGTGACTGAAATCCACACTTTGTGTGCCAGCTGGACTATGTTCTGACCTGCCTAAGTTTAAGTCCTTTTGTGCCAGCACCTGTGGAGTTCTCGCAAGGACAGCAGTGGCCAAGGCGGCAGTGGCTATCAATATTATCCTGTCCTGCAAGTAAATCTTCCAAGCTGCTTTCTCAACTTCCACGTGCTTGCTTGTATATGTGAAATCGCTGCCCCTCACCCTTCCATCCCAGCATCCAGAACCCAGGTCAGTTTGAGGGGGTAGCTCTGTTTCTGGTTGGAAGAAGCTCCTTAAGCCCTCACTCATGTCCCTTTTATACAGGAGAGTCACTCATAGACAGTACTATACAGTCATATACAGTAGACACTCATATGCAGTAGAGTCACTCGTAGAAGCAAAATAAGAGACTTTTGAATACAACCATGAATCTTTTGAGTTTGCTGTCCATGAGCCGGCTCTGCTCCTTGTATCGTGGTACTCTGGGCTTAAGAGAAGGAGAGAAGACACCTGGGTCTCTGTAAGTCTCTTCAGAACTGGAGTTTTCAAGTCTTGGGGCATGAGCTGTTTGTGTGTTTGCTCTAAGGTCTGCTTCCCAGTAGACTCCAGCCCCAAGTGTGAGTATGGCAAAGGTAACACCACTTTCTGAACTGCTTGAGTGAAGTGTTTGCAAAGCCCAAGGAACTGAGCCCACTGACTTTGCAGTTGTGCTGCGACAATACACTTTTTAAAATTTTCTCCCACGTACTTATGGTTGTCTAACACGGTCTGACTGAGTAAGTCTAATGCTAGCTTAGGACTCTAACCTCATACTTTTGCTGTGCTGTAGCTTTTCACAATGAGCAACTGTTAAATAACAGACATGGTGCTTCAGAGATGCTGCTGCTCAAAAAGTGGTTGATGCCCTCCTGGGATTCACCTTAACACAATACGTGAATTTTCATTTCCACATCTCGGGAAGGGCTACTTTTTGGAGAGATTCTGGAATGCCAAACAAACATTATATGAAGTTTGGTGTTCCAGAGGCTAAGTGACCTGTCATTGTAACTATTAACCTTTTTTCTCCAAATTTTCTCTTATAGTGATCACTCCAACATCTCATGCTTTCCAGGGCTGATGGGATGTCAGGTCCACATGTTCAAAGCACTGGAGATACTGATTAGTCTAAGAGTCAGGAGACAGATCTTATCCTGCCCAAGAAGGGGGAGAAGGACTTAGAGTAGATGCAGCGTAAGCAGAAGAGAGCCAGGACAGTGAGATGTGGAGACTGGTGGTTCCAGAGGTGGAAGGCGCAGCGCATTCAGCAGGTGCCTTTTGCGAAACACAGTTACGCAGGAAGGCATAGCTCATCAGTTTGATCTTGGCCTTCAGTTCTGTCACCTTTCTTCACCAAACACTCTCTTCTCATGGAAGAGGTGAAGGCAGGGAGATTCTTCAAGGCATACACTCCATGTCCCTTTGGTGTGCCGCACAGGTTTTTCCCATGGACAGCTGCCATTTGCTGACAAAGGTTGACACCACAGCTGAGCTTTGTATTCATGCATGTGTAATAACAATGGATGACTGAAAAAAGCCTTTATCTGGTCAGCAGTCTGTGTTTTATTGTCTACAAAACAAGAAGTTGCACCCTGATACTCCCTCCTTGTGACTTTCACAAGTCAAAGCCAGCCATGAAGAAAATGTCAGACACAGAGAGGCAGGGGCTCTGCCATAGGCTATAATGGTGCCTGCCAAATGGATTCCCTTGCTCCACCGCTGCTACTCCATAAACGCACCGCTCTCCTCTGCTCCATGAAGTTCTTCACCAAGCACATAAGGTCACTGCAATAGTGAATACATATATAGATTCCATCTCTGGCAGACCAAGAGGAGACTGAAAGTAGCAACAACTGCTAGTGTTAGCTCAGTGAGCCATCCCTATTCCCTATCATTGAGTTGAGTATAAATTTGGGATATTTCTGAAACAGACAGCTTGTTACCTGTGTGCAGTAATGGTATAAAAAGTGAGCTTAGCCTTAGCCTGCATACCTGACTGTGATCAGGGATCTGCATGCCTTGCAGACATCACATGGCACTGCATTGAGTTTGCTTTCAGTAGGCAGAAATTCACTGCTGAATCAGCAGTTTCTTCCACTTTCCTCTCAGCTTCACAGAAACAGAGGGATTCTTAGGCCAAGGATTTGCTGCTTTCATCTCCAGGTCTGCCGTTTCACCCTGGAGATCAGCTTCCCGTAGAAGGCCTAAGGCTCTTTGTCATCCAGCAGACTCTCCACTGGGCTGTGGCCACAATGTTCTAGTCCTGAGGGCCACGTTGTCTCAGCTGGAGACACGTCTCATCCCTGTAGCATTGCCAGTCCTGTGTATTGCTTCTCCCAGGCAGCCAGCACAGAGGAGTGTTGCACTGTTAGGGACTTGCCAAGATCACCTGGCTCTGTGGTGTGCCTGGCCAGTGTTTGAATACAAGCCGGCTTATTCGCGCTCTTCTCTGCTCCATGAAGTTCTTCACCAAGCACATAAGGTCACTGCAATAGTGAATACATATATAGATTCCATCTCTGGCAGACCAAGAGGAGACTGAAAGTAGCAACAACTGCTAGTGTTAGCTCAGTGAGCCATCCCTATTCCCTATCATTGAGTTGAGTATAAATTTGGGATATTTCTGAAACAGACAGCTTGTTACCTGTGTGCAGTAATGGTATAAAAAGTGAGCTTAGCCTTGGCCTGCATACCTGACTGTGATCAGGGATCTGCATGCCTTGCAGACATCACATGGCACTGCATTGAGTTTGCTTTCAGTAGGCAGAAATTCACTGCTGAATCAGCAGTTTCTTCCACTTTCCTCTCAGCTTCACAGAAACAGAGGGATTCTTAGGCCAAGGATTTGCTGCTTTCATCTCCAGGTCTGCCGTTTCACCCTGGAGATCAGCTCCCCGTAGAAGGCCTAAGGCTCTTTGTCATCCAGCAGACTCTCCACTGGGCTGTGGCCACAATGTTCTAGTCCTGAGGGCCACGTTGTCTCAGCTGGAGACACGTCTCATCCCTGTAGCATTGCCAGTCCTGTGTATTGCTTCTCCCAGGCAGCCAGCACAGAGGAGTGTTGCACTGTTAGGGACTTGCCAAGATCACCTGGCTCTGTGGTGTGCCTGGCCAGTGTTTGAATACAAGCCGGCTTATTCGGAGAACAGTGGATGAAGCTGGCCAGGGGAGGGCGTGGCAGGGAGATTAGCAGGGGGAAATGGCAGATTAATATTGTGCGTTTGGTGGGTGGAGGAGGAATTCCTGCCATTTACGGGACTAACATTTGGCTTGGGAGTCTGGTCAGGCTCCCAGCTTTATCAGGCAAGCAGGTAGCAGTGGTGGCTCAGTAGACTCTCTCTACAGGACATTGCACCTGCTCCTGTGAGGTGGCGGGATTTTGCGATTGTTATCTGTGGCTCACTTTTCTGAATGGGTTCAGTCACACCATGTGTGTGGTGCAGCATCTTCCGTCTTTCTGGAAAGGAAATGTAGCAGCCCCTTTATGGCAAGGGTGTATATTAAGCACGTTGGGTTGGAAATGTGATATTCCCAATGGCTCAGCTTTGTTCGTCTGAAAGATTCTGTGTTGTGATTATGGGGGTACCTGGCCAATATGCAAAAGAAAAAAAGGAATGGCAGCGTACTCTCCTGAATTCCCCAGCGGCTCAGCTTGTTTGCTGTCATGTTCTGTCGCCAAGCTGTTTTCTTCTTCAAAGGGTGGAAGATCTGGAAAGATTGAAATGCAGTTTTGGGCCATTGGGATGTGGCGGTGAGGTCACAGGAACTGAGAGAGTGGTTGGTGACAAGCGCCCAAGGTGATGGAAGTGGCATTGCCAGGCTATTCAGTTCAGGCAGCACCTGCCAGAATCTCCATCCTGGTCAGCTCTCTGAAATTTGTAAGATGCTGAGCATGTGCTGGTTCCTGCTTTGAGAAGATGACTGAGGAGTGATCCTGGCTACCCAGGAATTCTTCCACAAGAGCCTAGGGCTCTACACGGCTTTTTGGTATCCACGTGGTGTCACTGCTTCACGTGAGACCCAAGAGAGCAGGCAGCCTTCAGTGGCTCAGCATGATGAATGCGGAGAGCCTGTCCTGCTGCCTGCTGGAACAGCCACTGACAAAATACTGTCACTTATGGCCACGCTGTGTAGCAGAGGCAGGCAATGGGATAACGAGGTTAGATGTTCTGCAGAAGTCCTCCTTGTTGATGTAGGATGGCACAGTTTGAGCCCTAAATGTTGGCTTCAGTCAGAAGAAGGGTTTGGGTCTCACTGAAGCACTCTAGAAATTTGGGAGTGGAAAAGGGTGTTCTGGACTCTGACCCTGTCCCCTTTCTCTCCTCTTTCAGTGGCTCAGAAGGTGGTGGCTCTACGGAAGAAACAGCAGCTTTCCATCGGTCCCTGCAAGTCCTTGCCCAATTCACCCAGCCATTCGTCTGTCTCTGCGGCCTCCATTCCTTCGGTTCACATCAACCAGGTGGGAAACAGGAACAGGGAAAGCCCAGGACCCCATATGCTTCTCCCCACCCCCGCTGTTCTCTTCACTCACTAAACAGCTTCTTTAGTCTGGCACTAGACTCGCACTAAAGCCCTGCAGTAGCTTTTGGAAACAGCAGAGTGGTTGTCACCCTGGGAGCTTCTGTCTGTAGCCCAGAACAGCTCATTGCTTGCCTTGAAATCAAGCTCCGTGTATAAACCATCAGATCTGGCTCACATGGTCTCCAGAAATTGTGGAGTGCTTCTAGAGGCACTCACTGAGTCATGAGCAGCCTGTGTAGAGAAGTTCCTGGGCAAAGCAGAACGTAGGTCTGTGAAACAGGCCTCAGCCTGGCTGCCCCGGCAAAGCAGGACAGTTGCCCCATAGAATGGGATGTAGGCAGACATAGATGAACATAGATGGTCCTGCTTCCCCTGAAAGCAGGAAGCTGGTGGTCATGTATTCGTATGCAGATGGACTTCTTAGGGGATGTGTTTAGCAGGGTGGATTCAGTGGTGGGACTTTCTGAGGACCCCAGTAGCACAGAAGGGGAAGGAGCTCTCTGGAAGCTGCCCTTTCTGCCAGAGAAGGGTTCTTTGCTGTGTTTTAGGCACAGAGTTAGCTTGGCAGGGACTCCCAAGGTCTCCATGCCGGGGAGATAGTGAAGCCAGATGTATTCATTCTGTGACTTTGGAGGAGGCAGAACTGATACAGGAGAAGCAGGTCAGAAAGCAAAACAGGCTGCCATGGTGAGTGCCTGGCAAAAGAAATCCTTTGGGTAGCCTCATAATTGCATTAATGCTTTGCTTCAGTTTTCAATGTGCACACAAATGCTGAGCTGGCTCTCTAAAGAGGAAGATGAAAAACTGGGAGTGATTGTTTCTCAGGGGCAATCAAGCCAACATATTCCAGCTCTGAAGCAGCTGGCATATGAAATCACAGAATCTATAGCAAGGACTTCACTAAATTTGTCTTGTTTGGCATGATGCTCTCAGACTGGAGAACAGCAAAAGTAGCAACTGTTAATGAACGAGGGGAGATGGCTCCTCAGCCTCCTCGCTAGTAAGCAAAGCTTGAAACAGTTTTTTAGGAAGAGAGTATTTAAGGACTGAGAGGAAAATGTAAAACAAAGAAAATGCAAAGCAAGTTTAGCAAAACAGGCTATGCCAGACTGGCACTGCTTTTTCATAAGGGGATTGGTTTTGAGCCCTAGGGTGTATCAGAGTCTGTCATGCCCCCAGGCGAGCTTTTGATACACTACTGCAGGAGAGATTGTTGCTATACAGTCTATACTGACTGCATAGGTTTTTAATGCTGGACTGCAAGTAGTTCTCTACAGATTTTTGCAGAGACCTGTGCCAGCTTCCTGGTGCTCCAGGCCACCTGAACACTAGCCAATTTGTATAAACGTGCAAGTGAATGTGCTAAGTCCTGCTGACTGCCAGAACTGCCTAGTGAAGCGGTATAGCTTTCTGATCACAGCTTTCTTGTGTCCAGCAAGCTTGGGACGCAAGCAGAGTGAGCATAGCTGATTGCAAAACACGTGCAGCCATACTATGCCCTGCACTGTGGCAGGATACAGGCATTTTTTGAAAGGTTTAATAGAGGGCACCCAAGGTGAAGAGCAAAGTCCAGAGAAAATGCAAATTTGAGTGTGTGTGTGTGTGTATGTGTATATACATATATACCTACATACCTACATACATACATACATACATATATCTCGAGTATTTTTATTAGCAGAAGAATTGATTGTAAATAGTTGAAGACTGGCTGGGAAGGAGAGGCAGATTGTACTGAAAGTGGGAGCAGGGTGAAAGATGGCCGAGGGTGATGTTCCTCAGGGACAAGTTGTACACTTGTTTAATATTTTATTTTATTTGATGTCCACAATATGAGAAAAGGGTCTTAAGAAAAGTTTACTAACCTGCTTGCTGCACCAGGCAATGTGTTTGTAGTGAAGATAAACATGTGTTTCTCATTGTGCGGGGTGTGGTGATAGCAGACTCCTCAGTCTCATACCAGACACTCACGTTTCAGTATACATTCAAACTGGAGTAGTAACAGAAAAATGCTAGTGGGAGGGAAAGGAGATCCTAATACGGGAGGAAATAAAGAGCTTGGCTTGCTTAGCTTAGAAGAATGAAGACTGCAGTGGACAAAACTTGACATCTGAAATACAGCTGTGAAAGGAAAAAACTTTTGAGGAAAAAGAAGGTGCTAGAACAAAAGAGGAGGCTTTAAGACTGGCCATGACAAAGCGGAGATTGGGCATCAGAAGAAGTGTCTGCGTGTCCTGAGCTTTGTTAAGGGTTCTTGCTCAGAAGCCTCCTTACTTTCCTTTTCTTCATAACATAGTAGCAAAATACTCTTTCAGTGCAGCTTGCTGATGACTTCTGTGTAGAGGTGAATGCTGACTCCTTGACTCTGAGACAGGACCTTTAAGTCACAGCACCCTGCTGTGCTCCCATGGCTTTACCAGAGAGGCCTAGGTTATTCTGGTGGGAACCAGAGTTTTTTGATGGGAAACCAATGCAAATAAATGTTCATTGATTGCCTGGACTCTAGCAGTGTCAACAAAAATGGTAGGCCATGTCCTTTTGGAGCTTATGCTGTCTCTGTCCTCCCTCCCCTGGACATACTCTATGCCTGTCTTAAGCTGTGTGCCTCTCACACTGAACAAATCTCTATGCCACAGAGGGGATCAAAGTTAATCTGCATTCCCTGGATCGTCTGTGGATTCACCAAGGAGCACAGACCCTTTCAGTTCCCAGTGGCCTGCTCCAGCAGTCTTTGCTTTGTGGTTACACATCTCTCCTCCATTACAAAAAGCACTTCTAATAGAGCATGAAGCAATGAAACTGATGAGTGATTGTAACATATGATGAAGTATTTCCTCATTCTCATTTGACCTGAGCAGTGAGGCTCTGGAACTGCTTCCCAGCACCTCAGTGAGAAAATCCAAGTGGTTTTGAGAAACACAAGCTAATTGATCCCTGACATGTCTAAAATGGACCTGGACAGAGCAGCCTGTGCATTCAGGTGCATATGGGCACGCTGCCGTGGCAGGAGGACACACATCCCATACTGAGCACAGCAAACTGGCAGCTATCAGTCACAGCAGTTGTTGTAGCAGGGGCTCAAAAGAGCCCCGAACTGGTGGGGCCGCTGAACTAAACTGCTCAAAGATTGCGCTGTGGTGGTGGTGACACACTGAAAGGTACAGGCTCCAGCACGAGTTGGAGCAGCTGTCCCTAGCACAGGAGAGCGCTCAATGCAGACAGAGCTGCAGAGCGAGGGTGCTGCTGTCCAGGTGTGGGGTGCAGGGAGTGCTGGTGCCTCTTGTGGGACTGAGTGACTGTGGCCTTACTGCTGGGAGGTGAGCTCCGGCCCAGGCATGGAGTCACCAGGTGAAGGAGCTCTGGGAAGGGATGAGCAGACTGTGCACCATCAAGGAGGATAAAACAGAGTGACAAGGTCTTTGCAGAAGAGTGCCATGGTGTGTCTTTTCCTTTCTAAGGCTGAAGGGGCTCACTCCAGTATTTCTGACTTGCCTTCACTAACCCTGAGAGCAGGTACTGAGGCAGGGACAAGGACCTCAGGGAAGAGGGGAACACAGGACTCAGCATGAAATGAGATGGAAAGATGCCAAACAAAATACAAATTAGGTGCTTCTGTTTATCTTTTACTGCCACTAGGTGTTGGGGTACTCAAGAAAGGCACAGACACTGGAAACAGGAGAATCTCTTTTTCTTTTTTTTTTCTGGGTGCTGCTTGAGTGAACATCAGGACTGGCATTTGCGTCTTGAGCCCTTGGCCAGCAGGAGCCACTGGGAGCTTGTGCACAGCTCTGTCCCTGCCGGCCTTGTTTTGGGGTGTTGAGGGATGCTGCCTGCAGACACTGGCCATGTGTGGTGACAGCAGTTGCTCTGTTGCTTCCAGTCAGTTATGGCAAGAGAATGGCATCTCTGTCATTGTTTCATTTCCCTTGGCAGGCTGCCTTTCTGAGGGAAACCCTTCCCGCTGGTTGGAGTCCCTCCTTCCAGCAGTTGCTGAATTGTCCCTCTTCCCTTCTGCCTGCAGCTAAGGTCAGGGGCTGCTTCCCTTCACAGCCTTGTGCCCAGGAGAGATGGCAGTGCTGTTGAGATGAGAAGGGTATTCTGCTCAGGGTCTCATCTCCTGGCCTACGCAGGCAGGGACAGTTGTACCAGGCTCTGTATCTGGAGCTGTCGGTGAAGATGGCACTGGTCTTCCTTGAAATGGGAACAAGTGGTTCCCACAAAGGGTTACTTACAGCAGGCAGGAGCTGGGCACCAGCCCTGCCTCTCGTTCTAGTACCAGGGACATCTTTTCTGGAAGCAGTTTGATTTTCAAGGTTGATATTTTGGAAATGGCTGCTGCTTGTCTGGTCTCCTGACAGTCCAGCCAGTTCATTGCAATTGCTGGGAGAGAAGAGGACCCTGGTGATCACATCCTCCGTCTGTCCAGGAGGACTTTTTCATCCTGTTGTGAGGTGGGGGCCAGTGTCCTTACCTTAGTGCTGTGCCAGTTTCCCAAGCTGGCAGGGCTCTGAGAGGGTGGTGCTGTGAGAGCTGTTGTGATGGCCTTGCGCAGTGGAGGTTCCTCTTTATGAAGCAATTCTTGAACTAGCCAGAGGCCCTGGTTTCACCTCAGTCTTTGGGAGTTTTGGGTTGTTTTTTTTTTTTCTTTTTACTCCGTAGCAGTGCCTGTTGCCACAGAGCATGTTGTTCCCTTGTTCTCTGCTTTGATGGAAACTGTAGTAAAAGGTCATCTGGTGGTCAGGATTTTCCACAGGCACCAGATGTGTCCATCAGGTCTGTGACTCTTAAGTAACTTGTTCAGCATCTCTCTGGTCTTCTGAGACACCAAAGGGCCAGGATCAACCCTTGGGAGCCCTGAGCTCTCTGTGCTCAGAATGCCCTCAGGAATTTCAGAGCCACTAGGTTCCTTGGACCTTTCCCAGCAACTCACAGGAAGTC